AGCATATCAAATGAAATACAGGGTTAGTCCCCAGGGGTCACCCCCACCCCCTGCCATTTAAGAAAGTTCTAATATCTTGTAAGTGGTCAAGATCCCCACCCCTAAACCATATATATTCTGGTTTGTCATGCTAAGATGGTTTGAATGATATACAGGGTTAGTCCCCAGGGGTCATCCATTTGAGAAAGTTCTAATATCTTGTAAATGGTCGAGATCCCCACCCCTAAACCATATATATTCTGTTTTGTCATGATAAAGCACATCAAATGTTATACAGGGTTAGTCCCCAGGGGTCACCCCCCACCCCCTGCCATTTAAGAAAGTTCTAATATCTTCATAGTGGTCAAGATCCCCACCCCTAAACCATATATATTCTGGTTTGTCATGCTAAGATGGTTTGAATGATATACAGGGTTAGTCCCCAGGGGTCATCCTGACCCCCTGCCATTTGAGAAAGTTCTAATATCTTGTAAATGGTCGAGATCCCCACCCCTAAACCATATATGTTCTGGTTTGTCATGATAAAGCACATCAAATGAAATACAGGGTTAGTCCCCAGGGGTCACCCCCACCCCCTGCCATTTAAGAAAGTTCTTATATCTTGTAAGTGGTCAAGATCCCCACCCCTAAACCATATATATTCTGGTTTGTTATGCTAAGATGGTTTGAATGATATACAGGGTTAGTCCCCAGGGGTCATCCCGACCCCCTGCCATTTGAGAAAGTTCTAATATCTTGTAAATGGTCGAGATCCCCACCCCTAAACCATATATATTCTGGTTTGTCATGATAAAGCACATCAAATGAAATACAGGGTTAGTCCCTAGGGGTCACCCCTGCCATTTAAGAAAGTTCTAATATCTTCTAAGTGGTCGAGATCCCCACCCCTAAACCATATATATTCTGGTTTGTCATGCGAAGATGGTTTGAATGATATACAGGGTTAGTCCCCAGGGGTCATCCTGACCCCCTGCAATTTGAGAAAGTTCTAATATCTTGTAAATGGTTGAGATCTCCACCCCTAAACCATATATATTCCTGTTCATCATGTAATGAACATTTGAATGACGTATAGGGCCAGTCCCCAGGGGTTCCTCCCCACCCCCAATGTTCTAGTATCTTGTAAATGGTCGAGATCCTCACCCCTAAACCATATATATTCTGGTTTGTCATGCCAAGATGATTTGAATGATATACAAGGTTAGTCCCCAGGCATCACTAATGCATATAACTTTACTGGACCAAACCAATTTTCACTGGACGTTGCCCAATGTCAGGCGACCCTGGGAATTACGAATTATGGGAGCTTTGTTTGGGAGACTTCGTAACAGCATCCTGTTACAATCATTTCTTGTTTAAAGGAAATTTTGCAGTTTTTAGTGATTATCTTGAATATTATTGAAGATATTAGATAAAAAAAAGGTTCGGCGAAATAAGATCTACAAAAAAGTTTATATGACCAAAATTGTCAATTGACCTTTTTTACGGAGTTATTGCCCTTTAAAGACAATTTTTCACACTTTGTTCATCTAGTTTGCTTGCCTTTCTTTAAAAAATCTTCTGCTTTAAAACTGCTGAATTTTTTTTTAGCCAAACTAGAGCTGAATGAGTTTCAGAGTATCTAGTATAAATTTTGTATTTTATTTCCTTGCATGCCAAGAAACATAGCCAGTATGGCTATAATGGAACATAGGGGTAAATTTTTTTTTTTGCTTTTCAAGAAAATATGGCAGATACAAAGAACATTTAAATGGCATTTTTAAGCCACTCATTAATAAATATTGAAAAGCAAAAATAATCATTGATGAAAGATTTTCAGCAAAATGTTACAGGTGAGCGATTTGGGCTCTTGAGAGCCTCTTGTTTTAAGATATAAATGAGAGAGCTATTTTTTTAAAGTTATTTATTATTGACTTGGATTTCAGGATTTTATATGCAGAATAGCTTTGACAGGCTCAGCTAATTCTAAATGGTCTGAAATTTTTTAGAGTAATTTTGACCACTTAACACCTAGATAAATGTAAGATGAGGAGATGTGGTATGATTGCCAAATGAAGTAGAATTAATTTAAGGACACCACATGTTGTCATTGTATAGCCTTCCATAATGCAGAGCAAAACATATACTGTATAGTCAGCTATAAAAGGACTGATTTATTACAAAACAATAAAAGAAAAACAAATTTGACAGACATAAACCAACAGCAACCATTGAGTTACAGGCATCTGACTTTGAACAGGCACATATATATACATGGTTTTACTCATTGTTGAAGGCCTTCAGTGACCTTTAATTTCTGTGTCATTTGGTCTCTTGTGGAGAGTTGTCTCATTGGCAATCATACCACATCTTCTTATTTTTGTACATGTACATATATATAGAATTAAGCAGGGTTAAACAGATACAGTTCAGTTTACACCACTATAGAATTATTTTTCCACAGTTGTGAATAATAAGTTAAACTCAGATCTTTAAAATATTATGAAATTTTATGATTGAAAGATAGCAAAATTCCTATTTTTCAACAAATAGTTTCAAATTTGCATATTTTGCAACATATTTCTTTTAATAGGAAATACTGTGCACCATGGCTTCCAAAACGATCATATATTCCGGACTTGAAAATATTTCCTTGAAAAATGTCCGGCTGTCATCAGAAAATTTTGGAAGCCCTGGTCTGTCAGAAACAATTCACCTGAACTTGACTCATTAGATCAGTATTCAAGCTTAGAGTTGTGTGATTTAGTCCTTTTTTTGTCGAGCCTGCCACTTCTGTTGAAGAAAGCCATACACATGGATAGTCTGACAGGTTTTATTTGACCTTGACCTCATTTTCACAATTCATTGCTCAGTGATAAGTTTTTGTGTTTTGGTCTGTTTTTTTTCTTAAACTGTAAGCAATAGGTCAACTATATTTGATGTATGGAAATTTTTTATGATAAACATATCAGTCTCGCAGGTTTTATTTGACTTTGACCTCATTTTCATGGTTCATTGCTCAGTGTTAAGTTTTTGTGTTTTGGTCTGTTTTTCTTAAACTATAAGAAATAGGTCAACTATATTTGTTGTACGGAAGGATTGTACCTGTCTTGCAGGTATCATCTGACCTGGACCTCATTTTCATGGTTCATTGGTCAATGCCTATAGTTTTCTTGGTTAAGTCTGTTTCTTAGAAACTATAGCAATAGGTCAACTATATTTGGTGAATTAAATGATTGTAAAGTGTACATGTATTTCTTATTATTGGTTAATCTGACCTTGGCCTCATTTTCTTGGATCATGTTAAGTTCATATGAAACTTGTAGTAAAGCTTTATGTTTAGGACTATCAACATAAAATCAATGGTTAATAAAGAAGGCGAGACATTTCAGCGTGTGCACTCTTTTTCAGATGTTATAAGTGGTGTATGAAATGATTGTAAGGGGTGCATGTCAGTTTGGCAGGTTTCATCTGACCTTGACCTCTTTTTCATGGTTCAGTATTCAATGTTAAGGTTTTGTGTCTTTGTCAGTTTTCAAATACTATAAGCAGTAGCTTAACTATATTTGGTGTATGGAATGGTTGTAAGGCTTACATGACTGTCTGGTAGGTATCATTTGACTTTGACCTCACCTTCATGGTTAATTGGTCAATTGTTCAGTTTTTGTGTTTTGGTCTGTTTTTAAAATACTTAAAGCAGTAGGTCAACTATATTTGATGTATAGAATGATTGTAAGATGTACATATAAAAAAGAGGATGTGGTATGATTGCCAATGAGTCAACTCTTCACAAGAGACCAAATGACACAGAGTCAGAAATTAACAGCTATAGGTCACAGAACAGCCTTCAACAATGAGCAAAGCCCATACCGCATAGTCAGATATAAAAAGCCCCAAAATCACAATGAAATTTGTAAAACAAATCAAATGAGAAAACTTACAGCCTAATTAATGTACAAAAAAATGAACGAAAAACAAATATGTAACACAGCAACAAACGACAACCACTAAATTACTGGTTCCTGACATGGGACAGGCACATACATACAGAATGTGGCAGGGTTAAACATGTTAGCGGGATCCCAGCCCTCATAAATTCATATATTTTAGAAATTCTCCTCAAGAAATCCTTTATATTAGAAATGTTATTAACATCAACAATATTAAATATTGTACTTAACTGTATTTGATTTCTGCTTGGTACATTAATATTTTAATTCCTTTATTGCTATAAAATATGTTTTTTCTCATGGCAGCTCTAATATGAAAATGTATTTTTCTTTGAAGTTCATTATCTTCTTCATTTCTAAACACTTAATTGTTATGTACACCTCTTTTTCTATAGCCATTATTATTATAGCTGGTCAGTGGTCATAAACCTATGAAAATGAGTCAATTATTTAAACACAGAGCACTACCCACAGGTTCTTATCCTGTGTATTTGATGAATAATTTTAAAACTAATTTTCATCAAAACTCATTAACAGGGCAAGATATGGAAATTTATTTTTCTTCTGTGGTTTTAGAATATTAAGAAGTAACAAAATGAAAATGATATTTTGATAAACATGTTGTTGTCTTAAATGTATTGTGCTCTCATAAACCATCAGATTGTACTGCAATAAAAAAAACATGAATCAATATCAGGGAACTTGAAGTAATTGAAAACTCAGTTCAAAACCCAAACTGCACTCTAACTTTACTTTGCCTCAACCAAGTGTTGTGAAACTCATACACAATGCTTATTAACACCAAACACTGATCATGTTTGGGTGTCGTCACTTTCAGCATTCTCATATTATGTTACTTTATTAATAAAAAAAATTGATAAATTTGAGATATATTTACAAGCAGGGACATCTGTGTTTCATTGACACATATTCTTGTTTTATGTATTACACATTTTAGTGTATTAAAAGTAATTATACTGCTTCCACCTTTCAAAATTCTAACAAAGCTCTACCTCTTTAATGGATAAATAAATGATACTAGTCAAGAACTCAACAGATATTTTTTTTCAGGTTCTCTGGTCATTTGTACTTGTTGGCCACACACATGAAGATATTGATCCTGCTTTCAGCTAATATCAGAAAAATTAAGAACAAAGGATGCTGAAACTGTGCAGTCACTGTTACGGATTATTCCAGATGTTTCAAAAGTGAAATTATAATACAATATATGTTACTGGTTAATTCCTATGATTAGTAATTTTAAACAACACACAGAGACTTTGCATTATTGTTTTACAAGAGAGACACCAAAAGATGCAGTCAACATTTATCATTTTTATCAAAATACACCCAGGACAAACTATGGGTACACTTAGCTTGAAATATGGTGCTTTCTTACCAAAATTGTCTGGATGTAAAAGAAATGAAGAACCAAAATTCATGTCAACAATCAGGAGATACCAGAAGAACTAGTATAAATGGTTAAAGATGAAAGAATGCAGAATAAGGTACTGTCATATTCAGTCTTAATAAGAGTCCTGCTGCCTTATATATATATATGCATTTTTTTATGCCCCGTCATAGCAGAGGGGGCATTAAGTTTTACCCTTGTACATCTGTATGTAATTAGATATAAGAAGATGTGGTATGAGTGCCAATGAGACAACTCTCCATCACAATTTGTAAAAGAAAAACCATTATAGGTCAAAGTACTGTCTTCAACACGGAGCCTTGGCTCACACCGAACAGTAAGCTATAAAGGGCCCCAAAAATGACTAGTGTAAAACCATTCATCAGGAAAACCAATGGTCTAATCTATATAAAAAAATTCGTAAGTGTTCCGCGGAACCCAGTGTCTCGCCTACTTTTGCTGTTAATCGCAGGCTCAACAAAAATGAGATGAGGAAAAATTTTAATACAAATATTCCTCTCGATACAATTTTTTTATTGTAAGAAGCTTCTGTCCAAGTTTGGTAAAAAATCCAGGAGAGTTTATGAATCTAATAAATGTTTAAAAAAATTTAACTGCAGACTGTATGTAATGTTAACTGGAAGAAAAACTAAGTCCATTTATAAGTAAAATATGGATAAACAAGTACAAAATTTTAATAAAAATTTCCTTCTAGATACTAGCTTTTGATCATAAACAAACTTCTGTCCATGTTTGATACAAATCCAGGATAGTTTAAGAAAGTTATTAAAATTTTAAAAACTTTAACCACAGAGTGAATGTAATGTTTCCTGGCTGAAAAACTAAGTCCATTTATAAGTAAAATACGGAAAAACAGGATTTTTTTTTTACAAAATTTACTTCTTGATACTATCTTATGATCATAAACAAGCTTCTGTCCAAGTTTGGTAGAAATCCAGGATAGTTTGAGAAAGTTATTAAAATTTTAAAAACTTTAACCACAGAGAGAATGTAATGTTTCCTGGCAGAAGAACTAAGTCCATTTATAAGTAAAAATTAACGTGGATGTGTATTTATACATCCCACTTTAAAAAAATACAAATTTAGTTATGTTTTAATTTGCTGATGACAAAATCGTTATTTGTGCTAATGTAAACTATATTCAAAGATCTAATTACAACATTTGTAAGATAACCTTTACTAATAAGTTTGTTTAAAGGTTTGATGAGGTTACATATAATATTACTGTAAAATTTAGGATGTGAAATACCGTTTTTTATAAGTTTTCTATAAGTACAGCCAAATTTACTAATCAAATCTTTGTATCTATGAAAGAATTTAGTAAAAGTTTTAAGTAATTTATGGTAACCAAATCCCTGACTTAATAATTTACCAGTGTAAGTCCGTACGTCCCATTAATTGGTTTCTGTTCTCTAACTTTAGTTTGCCTCAACCAAATGTTATGAAACTTATACATTGCTTATTACCACAAACCACAAATCAAATTTGAATTTTGGTAGCGTCACTTTTACCATTCTAGATCTAGAGTTATGCCTCTTTACAAATGGAAAAATTGCTGATTTTTTTTGTGTTTGTTCTCTAACTTTAGTTTGCCTGAACCAAATATTATGAAACTTATACACAATGCTTATATTATTACCACAAAACACAGATCAAGTTTGAATGTTGGTGGCCTCACTTTTACTGTTCTAGAGTAATGCTCCTTTACAAATAGAAAAATTGCCAAATTTTTATACGCCAGTTTACGGGACGTATTATGGTATACCATTGTCCGTCAGTCCGTCTGGCCGTCCGTCCGTCTGTCTGTCTGTCCGTCTGTCGTCAACATGTCTGACAATCAAAAACGCTTGAACCAATTAAAATGAAACTTTGGTGAATTAGTTATATCTATTGACATGAGCTCCCTTACATTTTTTATAAATTTTAGATTTTAAGTTTCCAAGTTTTGGTTTTTTTTTCATTAAAAAAGGGGGAATTTCCAGTTTTCAGACAATGACTCAAAATGCTTTCAGCAGTTTTCATGAAACTTTAGTGAATTGTTTATATCTATTGACCTAAAGTCCCTTTTTAGCTCACCTGGCCGGAAAGGCCAAGTGAGCTTTTCTCATCACTTGGCGTCCGTCGTCGTCGTCCTACGTCGTCGTTAACTTTTTACATTTTGAACTTCTTCTAGAGAACCACTGAATGGAATGAAACCAAACATGGCATGAATGTTCCTTATGAGGTGCTGACCAAGTGTTGTTACTTTGAAGCCGATCCATCATCCAAGATGGCCGCCAGCGGGGGATTTAGTTTAACATAGGACCCTATGGGAAATACATACAAATGTCTTCTTTTAGAGAACCACTGAATGGAATAAAACCAAACATGGCATGAATGTTCCTTATGAAGTGCTGACCAAGTGTTGTTACTTTGAAGCCGATTCCATCATTCAAGATGGCCGCCAGCGGGGGACTTAGTTTAACATAGGACCCTATGGGAAATACAAATGTCTTCTTTTAGAGAACCACGAAATGGAATGAAACCAAACATGGCATGAATGTTCCTTATGAGGTGCTGACCAAGTGTTGTTACTTTAAAGCCGATCTATAATCCAAGATGGCCGCCAGCGGGGGACTTAGTTTAACATAGGACCCTATGGGAAATATTTACAAATGTCATTTTTTAAAAAACCACTAAATGGAATGAAACCAAACATGGCAGGAATGTTCCTTATGAAGTGCTGACCAAGTGTTGTTACTATGAAGCCGATCCATCATCCAAGATGGCCGCCAGCGGGGGACTTAGTTTAACATAGGACCCCATGGGAAATACATACGAATGTCGTCTTTTAGAGAACCATTGAATGGAATGAAACCAAACATGGCATGAATGTTCCTTATGAAGTGCTGACCAAGTGTTGTTACTATGAAGCCGATCCATCATCCAAGATGGCCACCAGCTTGGGACAGTGTTTAACAAAGGACCCCGGGACAATACATACAAATATCTTCTTTTAGAGAACCACTGAATGGATTGAAACCAAACATGGCATGAATGTCCCTTATGAGGTGCTGACTAAGTGTTGTTACTTTGAAGCTGATCCTTCATCCACGATGGCCGCCAGCGAGGGACATCCTTTAACATAAGACCCTATTGGAAATACATACAAATGCTTCTTCTAGAGGTGCACTGAATGGAATGAAACCAAACATGGCATAAATGTTTCTTACGAGGTGCTGATGAAGTGTTGCTACTTTGTTGCTGATTTACTGTTCAAGATGGCCACCAGGATTTTTTATTACATTACATTATATTTAACCAAATTTTGCCTCACTCATTATTAGGGTATCTGCTATGATTTTAATCTATTTTAACATGATTTCCAAAACCAAAGTAGAATCAGGTGAGCGACACAGGCTCTTGAGAGCCTCTAGTTAATTTTTATCAAATTTAGATTTTAAGTTTTGGAGTTATGTGATTTTATTCATAAAAAGGGGGGATTTTCCTGTTTTCGGACAATGCTTTGAGCAGTTATCATGAAACTTTGGTTAATGCTTGGATCTATTAAGATAACCTCCCTTTAGTTTTTCATGAATTTCTGATATGACATTCAGGAGTTATTGAACTTTATTCTTTGAAAAAGTGATGGGCATATCATGCACTCATGGTGCAGCTGTTTATTCATTTTAGTTCACTATAAACTTAAGTTTGCTTAATTAAATGTTCAAAAACTTATACACAATGCTTATTACCACAAAACTCAGATCAAGTACTCATTTGGGTACTGTGTGTCACTTTTACCATTCTTGATTTATGACCCTTTAAAATGTTATATGCAAGCGGGGGCATCATCTGTGTCCCATGGACACATTCCCCATTTATTTATTCACAGAATTTTGAAAGGAATAAATAATCCATGATTTTCACATAGATAAAACATATTGTTACAAGAATTTATACCTGTTTATTACAGATGAAATGCAACTCAACAACACAAAAAATAAATAAACAGCATAGATGCAGTTTTGACCTATACTTGTATAAAAATAAGGAGATGGTGCATGATTGCCAATGAGACAACTATCCACCAAAGTTTGAATAAAGTGGATGTAAGCAGTTATAGGTAACTGTACAGCCTTCTACAATGAGAAAAACCCATACTGTATAGTCGGCTATAAAAGGCCATGAGAAGTCTAACGGCCTAATTTATAACAAAACAAGTATCGAAAATCAAATATATAACATACATATAAAACCAACGACTTCCATGGAAATACTGGCTCCTGACTTGGGACAGGCACATAAAGAATGGGGCAGGTTAAACAAGTTGTTGAGTGCCCAACCCTACCCTAGCCTGGGACAGTGGTGTTACAGCACAACATAAGAACAAACTATTAAAATCAGTTGAAGAGGTTTCATCATATTTTTATAGGTCAACCGTCTTGAAATGATTAACAAGTGATTGTAGAATTTAATAAACATCTCAATTGTCAATTGAAAAGCCAAAAACAAACAAACAACTACTATCAACATCAAATTCCCTAAAAACAAAAGCTTTAAGATAAAAATTAGGTGACAGGAAAAGTCTTGACTATGGATAGGCACATGGACTTGCAGTCGTTTCTGAAAACTCAATATTGCTCCCCTTTTAAATCTTGATCAGTATTTGTAAAATGAAAAAAAAGTTACATAGAAGAATGCAGGTTGCCAGTAACATTCAATTGGAGAAAGGGAAAAGATTACTCAACTCTACACTGAAATAATTTTGAAAACTATTAATGGCTATACTATCTTTATTGTAAAAAAATGTTGGAAAAGTTATGATCATTTTGATTGTGTGAAACGTCACACAAGGCAATCAAAATGTTCAGAGGGGGAAATGAAGTTTTGTTATAAATGTCAAGTGTGATAGTCTCAACCTATCAACATGATCAAAATTGTTGACTTCACTATTAATATTTACATTTAGCATGAACAGTGGAATAGAATGTTTTTTTTTTATCTTTTATTAAATGTTATTTTACTTTGCTCTTATAGGCAGGATTGAAAGGAAGAAAGAACTAGTCATCAGTAAAGAAACAGATCAATTTATATAACATGTAATAATTCCATCTGAATATAACAAACATTGCACATGTTATGAAGATTTATTCACATGTCTACTCTGATTTATAGTTATGTATTTGTAATATTATATAGTACATGTATTTTATTTTAGAACAATATTTTTTTTTTTTTTTGCTGTGGAGAACATCAAAGAAATTTAGAAAAATACAATTAAAGATAGTTTCTTCCATTTTTTCTGTGACAAAAAAAAATTGTGCAAATTAGGAAAATGAAATCAGGCTATATTATTAAATATTTTTGAGTTTTGGTTTTTTTTTACATCCTATTTTAAAATTTCATTGGCATTTGAAGTAATGAGTTGAAACCAGTTTTTATTAAAATATTTTGTTTTCAAGATGTACAAACAGTACAGTAGGTTAAGTCTTTGGTGTACATTAGTTTACTATGATGTTAAGGTCAAATAAACTTGAAACTTTGTACATTTTACAAGTGTTCATTATGAAGTCATTTTTTAAAAATAATTACAAATAACTGAACATGGAAATGTGATTGTTGGAGCAGGGTATAATGTGTTATGGATACAAATCTCAATCCCATAGAGCACCGTCCTCCTCACTGGCCTCTCAGTATGGTATATTGACTTTGAAAATTTCCTTAGTTTACACTGTAAGGTTTGTGATAAGTTCAGTTTAAGGAGAACCACTAATAGTATGTCAGGGATATTTTATAAATATCTAAATTCTGTGTTGTAAAATCTTATAGATTTTGTTTTTTCAGGATTTTTCCCAATATGTTTAAGAAATCTGTAGTATAATTTTTGCTTGTAGATTTTATTTTGGGATTTTTCCCGAAATTGGTAAAAAAATCTATGCAGCAAGTGTGTGCTTGATAATAGATTTATATTTTCGGGATTTTTCCCGAAATGTGAAAAGAAATTATTAGTCATGAGTTCTAGCATATACTTTGGGTTTTCAGGATAAATCCTGAAATATTTGAAGACATCTGTGTTATACATTTTGCACTTAGTTTATTTTTGTCGGGATTTTTCCCGAAATGTGTTTCAGATCTATTTGTCAAAACGCTTTGCCAACATATATGTTATAAATAATAATGTTGAAAATAATTTCGGGACATTTCCCGAATAAAGTTGTCAAATACATCTTTACCACAAATATTTTAAAACTTTCATATATTTTGGGAAATTTCCCAAAAATTAAATGTAAGTTTTATCAATTATATGAATAAAATCATGGAATATTGTAAAAATTGTGTGTTTCTTTATGAAATCTGCATTCATTTATGGTAAACATTGAAAAATATTATAAAAAGGAATAAAATGGATTTTACTCTTTTAAAATAGAGTCAGTTGAAGGTAATTTTAAACTAAGTTTAGATGGAGCTACAGATAAGACGAACCTGTAGATGCAACAAACTATCAGTTGACATGCAGTATTCCTCAATTATCGATTTATTTAATATAAACTGTCCTTTCAAATATTAACTCTCGTTTTGCGTTTAAAATAAGCATGAAATCAAATGAATGTAGATGTAAGTATATTTATTATTATATAATGTTTAATCATTAGCACTCATTTTGTAAATTCAAAAAGTTAGCACATATAATTAGTAAAAAAAATGTTCTTATGAAGCTAACAGTCAATAAAGATTTCTTTCGTTTTTGTAAGAGTTATAAAGGATGAATAAGTTCACTTTATCGACGAGTGAATTCTTAAAAAAATACAACTGTTGAAATCGGAGTACATTGATTAAAACGAGTAAAGTGATACCTAATTTTTAGGAAAGATTGTAGCCTGATGCATGGTACATATACTGAAGTCAAATGTTGAACTAATACTCCACTGTCCCAGATTAGATAGAGGGTTGTTCGAACACATGTTTTATCCCGCGACATGTATTTGTCTCGAGACAGGAACCTGAAGTTCAGGTGTTGAACTCAACGGTTGCCATCCATCATAATTATAAAAATAATTTGTTTTTGGTAATATCATTTAGTTAAGCTTAAATCGGGTAGATGTTTTTCTTTTTACGTTCTTGTTTATTGTTGAAGTCGGTACTGTGGCCTTAACTTGTTTACATCCTTGGACTTTGAAGATAATTGTCTCATTGGCACTTACATCATTTCCACATTCTTATATAAGGCTAGTATAACACACGTAAAAATATAAAATAATGGCGAGTGATACTCGCAAAATTTTGGGCATATGAATTGGATTTAAATGTCTATTGTGAATATTGACATTCTCAGATCTGTACATTTTTGTACCAAGGTAAGAAATTATCAATCTTGTAGTATTTGGGGAGCCATGTTTGGCAACATTTTTGTTTGGTGATTTTTTTCGGAATTTTATTGAAAAACGTAACATGCTAACTTCTAGATGATTATTTTTATTATCCCAATCTGTTGTTAGGTTGCTGTTCCATTGATGTTAACCAAACGCCCACTTTTATTTGTATGTTTTATGAAATAGGTCAAAATTAAGTTTGAGTGATGTTTGAGAAAACATAAAAGAAACCGAAAAATTAATTCAGTGACCCTATACAATTTTTATATCGTAAAGATGATAATTTTAAAGCAATAAATAAATTTAAAAATATACAAATTTTGTGGAATCGCAATTTAAAGATACATAAATACGCAGTTACGTCCTAAGCGGTAGTGCAAATTAGGGTTAGTTTCTCCTGAATTCCATAAGGCCAATTTTCAGAGAGTCTTCCAAACTTAACGAAAATTAATAGGATAACAGATTCGTGTGTGTACTATAAACATAGGTTCTATAAATATAAGCGCTTATTACTAGATTTGTAACAATTTCTAAATCCCAAGATGGCTCAAAATTTGGTAGACTTGATTAAATATTCACAAAAATAATTAAAAATAACGCTTTTTAACAAAAAGTAAAATAATCTGCAATGGAGTCGCTCATGGCCTTGACTAGCCTACAGACCTTATGCTCCATTTTTTTTACTGACTGGACACGATACTGCTTTTTATATCCATTCTATACTTTATTTTATAAACTTTTAATTTTTTGTTGATGTTGTATTTTTTACATCTACGTAGTATTTATGTTCAGATCCAGTTCAGCTAGTTTTAAATGGGCACAGGCCGTTTGCGCTTTTTTACCTGAAACACGAAAGGACATTTGCGCTCCAAAACTATGGACACTTGCGCTTTTATCTTTGATACACCTAAACCAAATTGACCGGATATTATTTGTGCTTACCTGTAATCTTAATCTGAAATTTACCAAAGCCAAGGAAGATGTTCATACATTCTCTGAAAGTTATCCGGTACATACAACAACATTATATATCTTTGTGATTGCTCAAATTCAAAAGTCAATAAAACCACATAGTTACCTCATCAAAAGACAGTAATTGTATACTAGTATTACTTTTTTCTTTTTATTTACCATGTTTACCGAATAAAATGTTATTTTTCAAATTTTCATAGACTTACTGAAATTAATTATTTTGCCTAAAAAATTGTGGTGGTCTAATTGATCTATGGGAAAGTAACCAAAAAAGAATCAAAGAGACAACATTTAGCTGTATATACATATATGAATGTGCTGTGTTTTAGATATTTCAAATGTTATGGTGATAAGCGCAAATGTCCTATAGAAAAAGCGCAAATGCCATATAGAAAAAACGGAAATATCAATTAAAAAACGCAAATGTCCTATCAAAACACGTACGCAAATGTCCTATCAAAAAGCGCAAATGTCCCATCAAAAAGCGTAAATGTCCCATCAAAAAGCGCTCAAGTCCCTCGCCGTTTTAAATCGTACAAAATTTTTACCAAAATTCATGATACGGTCCAATTACGCAATTGACATACTTGTTGAATTTTTAACAGTATATCACATGAATACTAATTTTCTTCGTCGTATACATCTTCTGAAATAAGGGTACTTCTATGCACTTGACATCTTTATCTATATATATACTCCAAGACGTTCTTAATTGTTATTTGATATCCTGCATTTATCAATCTTTTCCATTAATTAAGATCAATATGCTGAAAGACCTCCTGCTGAATTTTTCAAATCTATCCTTTAGCATTCACCATAAAATCTTGGTGTAACGTAGATACACTAGATCGGACTAACGCCCTCATAGGTGTAACTTATTCATACGTCAAGAAATATAGGTCTTGATACTAGTTCAGTGCATGCAACAAGTGTGTCTGCAATAACCTCCAACTTGAAGGTACATCTTCAAGGTAAAAGATGTCATTAGTAAAACACGTTTGTCTGTTTGCATTTACATGAGGGTCTGGATGGCGGTTAATAGCTTATAGCTTAATACTAATTATTGTTTAACTACATTACAATCAAACCACGATCACAGCTAGGAATGGAATCACTTGGAAGACCATTTATTGTAGAGACTTAAATTATACTCATGAACTACATAAATTTTTAGGAAAAAGGGAACTTTTGAATTATTGAAAAGGAATTGATTTAACGCCCTATTAAGAATGGACCTATTCTTGTTTTGATAACTGTTAGGTTGTAAATATTTGATCTTTATATCACTATTTTTACATAATTTTTTCGCCATTCCGTTCTTTCAGTCAATATTCTACCTTACGAAAATTTGTAAATTATTCTAAGACTTTGGTATATGTGACGTTTAATATCCTTAGCTTACACTTTTCATATTATACCATGTTTCTACTCATCAAAATCGGAATGTAAATGGCTCCGAACGATTATGCCTCTTGTTATCTTACACTATGTCTTACTAAATTGTTCTTTGAACATGCCTGCCAGGCGAGGATCCAGCCATTTTGATTTTTAAACCCCCGGAACACCACGAAATGTTCACATAATTAAAAATTAAAATTAAAAAAATGATAAAAAAAATGAAAAAGGAGGGGGGTTCCAACCCCGAACCCCCTTTTTCCCTTTTGGATCCGTCATTGCCTTCTGAAATTAGAAACGGATACGCCAATAGAAACAAGTGACTTTCCATTCCATAAAAATTTGTATACGGACTTTGTTCAATTGATTTTAAAATACCATGTGAGAAAGTCTTGTTGTAGTACGAAATTACCATTGATTTTCAAGCAAATACCTTGTTGAGAAAGTCCTGTTGAATTACGAAACTACCATTGATTTTCAAGCAAATACTTTGTTGATTGTCCTGTTGAATTACGAAATTACCATTGATTTTTCAAGCAAGTACCATGTTAAGAAAGTCCTGTTGAATTACGAAACTACCATTGATTTTCAAGCAACTACCATGTTAAGAGTCCTGTTGAATTACGAAACTACCATTGATTTTCAAGCAACTACCATGTTGAGAGTCCTGTTGAATTACGAAATTACCATTGATTTTCAAGCAAGTACCATGTTGAGAAAGTCCTGTTGAAGTACGAAATTACCATTGATTTTCAAGCAAATATCATGTTCAAAAAGTCCTGAAAATTAACGGAAATGAAGAACATCCAATTGAGACCCTCATCTATATTTTTAACTGGCGTACAAGCTTTATTTTCATCTTAACGAGGGTCTCCATTAGATGGTCTTTATTTTCGTTTTCTTTATTTGTTTGCCACTTTTCTCTATAATAATTCTTTATTTGTTTTGTCCATTATTCTCTATTCTATCTATTATCCTTTATGGGTGGATTTTACATAGATAAATAAAATCGTATAATATAAGCAAAATGAGGATGTTAAATTTGATGTATGCCTTTTTGTGCTTCTTCGTTACATTTGTTTGTTTTTATAGTGATTAAGATGATAATACAATTTTGACTGCTGTACCCCTATTTTTGACATTTTTACCTATTGTGTCTGTTTGTTTTGTTCACGCATCGTTGTCAATATAATGGAATTTGATGCGACTGTTATACAAGTGAGAGGTTTAGCTAGCTATAAAACCAGGTTCAATCCACCATTTTCTACATAAGAAAATGCCTGTACAAGTCAGGAATATGACAGTTGTTATCCATTCGTTTGATGTGTTTGAACTTTTGATTTTGCCATTTGATTGGGGACTTTCCTTTTTGAATTGTCCTCGGAGTTCAGTATTTTTGTGATTTTACTTCTTATTATCTTAGCATTCAATTATTCTGTATTTTTATCTTTTGGCTTCTTGTTCTCTATTTTTCTTGTTTTTGCTCATTTTCGATAGAATTGGCCATTATTCTTATTTGGATTTTGTTTAAAGAACGTTATTTTGTTTTTTAAAATTTTGATTATAATGCAACAACTATTTTTTTATATAT